AATTTGTAAATGAAGCTTGGAAATTAGTCCACGGTTTAATAATTCATTACCAGAAAGTTTCGAGTAAAGAAGATAAAAAAGTGTTGACATAGTTCAAAATTAATTATTTAAATTTTAATTAGAAATTTAAATCTTGACTATAAAACGTATGATTCTCAGAGACAATCCTGTAACTTAATTTGAAATTAAAATAATTCACTAATAAACTAATATACAGTGATTTCAATTACATAATCGCAATTAATTTTTGTGTTAATTAAACAAAACTGATATTTTGATTGTTTGTTCATTTTTGGAGCAAAATCTAAATTAATTAGACAGACTTCTAATTAAATCAACTTAAAGTTTTTTTTTTGGAAATGGAATTTGAATTACCCAAAATTAAGACACTACTTCAAAATCTCGATTTGGAGAAGATAATTAAGCCTGTAATTTAATATAATTAATTTCAATTAATTGTTTGTTATCAAAATAATTCAAGATACTTTAATTTGTTAATTAATTTTAATTCAGTTCCGATTAAAATTTGATTTAATTGCAATTTTGGCGTGAACCCTGAATTAGCGCACAATGAATCCGATTTAATTACAGGAAATTTCTTCCAATTGTAACTGGGATTTTTAAACTAATTACTTGTCGTATCGTTAGTTCCGCTTTTTCTTTCATAAATCCATTTCAAAAACCCAAAAATTTGTAGCTTTCGACACGATTTTGAAACAATAGTTCCCGAAATTGCCCGATTTGTGGGTCATTGCTGAAGATGTCGAGTAATTAAAATTATGAAATTCTAGTGTGAAACTTGAAACTGTCTCTTAATTAAAATTAAATCGTCCGGAAACGGATCGATTTTTCTCTCCTGTAACGGGATATTGGCCAATAATGTGTAACATAACTTTCAAAAATAATAGCGAATGATGTAATACAGGGTGTCCACCCACAGAATGTGATAACAACAATCTCCTCTTGTGTTAAATCAATCAAAGAAAAAATCGCCAGCCTTCACACTCGTTTCTTGACAAAGAAGCATAACGAATACTTATGAAACGGATGCAATACAAATCAGGCATTTAATTTGTTTGGATAAATTAATTTCCACCTTGAATGTGACGATTTGTTCACTTTTGCTTTGATTTGAGTCAATGTTGTAACATATTATCATTGTGCACAGTCACGATTTTTCAAATAATAAAATATAGACCAAGACGGTGAAAGGTTTCGGTTTTACAACACTTTGCACATAACCGTTGTGACCCTTTGTCAATTTTTTTGCTTTCTCTTTGATTTTCTGGTATGTGTGATTGAATTCTTCAACAATAGTGTTTATATGCACCAATAATGCAGTTCTTGATATTCCCACTCATTAGACGATATTTATTACGCAAGAAACATGGGAAAAGACCGACTTTTTCCCGGTTGAAACAAGCAGTTAGGAAACTCCAGATTTCCAGATTTTGTAAAATATTAAAACATGCATTTGACTAATTGCTCATTTCGTCAAATCTCTTTGTTGTCGTTGCACCACAATTGTGAAATTGTTACAAAAATTCAAACAATGCTTTTTTAAACCCAATGGGAGGTCCAAAATGTTAAATTTTGCATATTTTTTACAAAAAACATTAAAAGCGTCAACTTTGATTCGCTTTCTCTTGCTTATAAGGGCAACATTTGAATTTTTAATTTTCTCGTGATTCGAGAATAATTAACTAGTGCATATGCAATAATTTGAGATTTTTCCTATTATAAATTCCAAGTGCAAGAGAGAAACTTAATTGCGATTCGGTTTTAGTCATTTATCGCATATTTCGTACAAATTATGAAATAATTCGATCTTGTTGACCTTCTAGAGGAAATAGTTCCGTGCGTTATTATTGATGAATTTGGATTATGGAGCATTTTTCCGTTTTATCAGCCTTTCACTTGGTAAAAACTGGAAAATGAGAAAGCCAACGAAACCAACACAAACTTATTGATAATAAATTAGAAAAGAAAATATTGCGGTCAATAATTATTTAAAAAAATGTTAAAATCCGAAATCGGGCAGAATTTTAATTAAGTGTGATTATGCGAAATAAATTTTTGACGGTTTCATGTAACATCTTCGGTGAAAGGTGTTACGAAGATGGACACTTGGTACCACCCAACAGTGGCGTATCGAGGAAATTAAAACTTTTTTTTGTTACTTATTTTTTTTTTCAAAATAGCAATTTTTTTCCATAAAATAATAATAAAATAATAGCCTTTATAAAAAAGGAGGTTTTATAGTGGGTAGCCATTTAAAAAAAAAATCAGAACTCAAAAAACAATAAAGAATTTCAAAATTATTTATTTTTGAAAAACGTCACATTTTCATACTCGTAGTACTGCAAAATTTATTTTTTTCAAAAAAATATATAGTTTAAATTTTTGTTTACCTTGTATATGTATAAATTAAGGAAAGTGAAATATAAATTAGGGACATAAAACACCAAAAATATTGGGATACAAAAAAACAATTTTTATTAATCTTCAATAATATAAAAAATAAGAAAAACGAGCAAATAAACAATAGTAACAATAAGCCAATAGAAAATTAAAATTTTTAAACTGCTGGACGAGGCGAAGCCGAGTCTGGAATAACTATTTTCGAGAGCGTATAGGTACTAAAAAACTACTTTTTATTAATCTTGGATTAAAAAAAGTAATGTAAAAATTGGAAATATTAGAAAAATGATTAAATTAGGTGAATGAAAAAAGTAATGAAGAAATGGAGAAAAAATAATACAAAAATGAATTATATTTTTTTTTAATTATAAGGCAAAAATTTTTAATTTTTCTCCAAACAAAAAGAAACCGGTTGGTTTTATGTTTTCTGTTTACCTATTTTTTTTCAAGTTCTATTTGTTTTTTTACAAGATTTTACTACAACAAATTGCCTTTTTTGAAGCACATTTTTCAGTTGGAAACAATTATTTCGTAAAATTTTGTTTAAATCAAGCCAAAAATTCAACAGAATAGGCCAAAAATGGTGTTTTTTTCCTTTTTCGAGTGTTTCAACACATTTTTTAACTTCTTTGCTCAACTTGCTTCTTTTTCGAACCAGAGGCTTATTTATTTTCGAAAAAATTTGGCCAAACACAAAAAGATATAATTTTGGTGTTATTTTGTTTGTTTTACTTAGCAAGATTAGTTAAAATTAACTTGAAAAACCAAAAAATTACGTGAATGAAAAAAAGTAATATAGAAATGGAGAAAAAATAATACAAAAGTGAATTAAATTTTTTTAATTATAAGGCAAAAATTTTTAATTTTTCTCCAAACAAAAAGAAACCGGTTGGTTTTATGTTTTCTATTTACCTATTTTTTTCCAAGTTCTATTTGTTTTTTTACAGATTTTACTACAGAAAATTGCCTTTTTTGAAGCACATTTTTCAGTTAGAAACAATTATTTCGTAAAATTGTGTTTAAATCAAGCCAAAAATTCAACAGAATAGGCCAAAAATGGTGTTTTTTTCCTTTTTCGAGTGTTTCAACACATTTTTTAATTTCTTTGCTCAACTTGCTTCTTTTTTGAACCAGAGGCTTATTTATTTTCGAAAAAATTTGGCCAAACACAAAAAGATATAATTTTGGTGTTATTTTCTTTGTTTTACTTAGCCAAGATTAAGTTAAAATTAACTTGAAAAACCAAAAAATTTGGTCGAAACTGCTTTTGAACACGTTTTTGTACTGAAATCACAGGTTTTCGCAAGATTTCGTTTAAACAAATAAAAAAACAACAAATTAAGTCAAAAATTATATTATTATTGCATTTCTAGAGCGTTTCACCACGTTTTTCAATTACAAACGCAATTATTTCGCACAATTTTGTTAAAAACAAGACAAAAAATCACATAATTACGTTGTTTTTGATTTTTTCAAGCGTTTTACTACGCCAAAATTCAACAAAATAGTTCAGAAAGGGTGTTATTTTTGTTTTTTCAGCGTTTTTGAGACGAATACAAAAAAAAATGTTAAAAAAATTACGAAATCACTAAATTAAATGGAAATTGACATAATTTTTTAGTTTGTTTTGTTCAACTTAGGTTTTGAACTAGAGGCTCATTTATTCTGCAAAATTGTGTTCGAAGACGCCTAAAATTCACAAAAAGAACTGATTTTGATGTTATTTTACTCGATTTAACTAAATTTTGAACAAGGTTTAAGTCAAAAATTTGAAAAATTTGTTTAAACAGGCTAAAAAATTACAAAATGAAATCGAAATTGATATTATTTTTTAACCAGAAGCTTATTTATTTTCCAAAATCTTGTCCAAACACCAAAAAATCACAAAAATATTTCATTTTCACAAAGTTTATGTCAAAAATAAGTCAAGAAACCATAAAATGTGGTCAAAAATGCTTTTAACCAAGATTTTTTTTGTACATAAAAAATCTAATTTTTACGAGATTTCGCTAAAAGGAATAAAAAAATCAACAAATTAAATCGGAAATTATATAATTTTTACATTTCTCGAGCCTTTTAGCATATTTTTCAGCTAAAAACGTAATTATTTCGCAAAATTTTACTAAAAACAAGCCGAAAAATCACAGAATAACGCCGAAAATAATGTCACTTTTACTTATTTGAGAATTTAACCAGATCTTCAAAAAAATGCAAAACACAAAAACAAAAAAATCCAAAAATTTCATTCCTTAAAACAATTAAACGTATTTTTGGAGACAGAAAGGAAACAATAAAAATTAGTATTTTTCATTGAAAAGAAGTCAATATTGACAGTTCCTAGGGCCCCCTATTACTACGCCACTGCCCCCCAACGCCAACTAATCTATAAATAAAACATGAATGTGTCACTAATTTGCAATTAGCTCAATTAATATGTTTGGAATTATAGTGTCTGCGTAAAAGAAAGCTCATTATTCTGTTTACACCGTTAGTGGTACTACTTGCAAAATTCATTGTCCTTGGAACCATTCTCGTTCAATAAATTAATTTGTTATGTTCAGGTTCTTGGCTTCTTATTATTCTCAAGGACTGTGATAATTAACCAATGAATCACCCATTATAATAATAAATTATTGCATAAGGGACTCCACCCTGCCCCGATCTAAGTCCAATCGACGATGTTCCTGTGGTACTTCTTGGCCCTCCTCCCCCTGGCCGAACCCAAAGGTTCCGGCTACAGCATTTTCCTGGAGCACACCCCAAATTGGCAAGGGAGACCCTACGGGTACGGCCCGGCACCACCCCAGCCCAACTTTGACCCTTTCAAGTACCACCCCCATGACAAAATCACAATTTATTCAAGTACCATTTTAGCAATAATTTTTTACCACAACCACAACCAAGCCCAGATCCGGCCACTCTAGGCTGTGGTACTCCACCAGCGTCGTGTCCGAAATCACGGTACCGCTCATATGATGGTTCCTGTAATAATCTAGTGAACCCAGTGTTGGGTACCCCACAAACGCGCTATGCGAGACTTCTACCGGCGAATTACGGCGATGGTGAGTTGGAATATACAGGGTCGTGACAAAAATAGGATTATACAAGGTGTTAAAAAAAGATTGTAAGATGTTTAAGGACCAAAATAAACATGGGTTCGGAGATATCAAATGTGAAAATTTTTAGAATTTCTACTAGAACTTTTCTTTTTTTTATCAGATTGCAAATAAAATTGTTACTTTGCGGACCATTTCTATTAAGACTTTCATTTCTGTCTTGTTTTACATCGTAAAAAAATATTATACAAAAAATACATATCACATCAGAATTCTAAAAACAAAAAAAATTTAAGAATATTTAAAAAAAAAGACAAATAGCATAAGAGCTTTACAACATGAAGTAAAACGTATAAACAAAAAAAAATTGAAATTGTCAATTAAATCTTCCGAATTTCTTTATCTTTTTCATTATCTTCACCTTCTTCAGTTTTTTTTCGACATTTGTAATTTTTTCTCTGATTTTCTTGTTTTACGTTTTTTTTCTTGTATCGTTTTTATTTTTTGTTATATRTTTTCCCAATTGTTAAATTACCGTTTCAGGTTTTGTTTCAACCACTGTTTCTTTTTTTTAAGATAAATAGTTTTTTTTTTCTTTATTTTTTGTGTTTCCGGATTGGTTTTCTATTTTTATTATGTCATGACATTTTTTTTTATTTTACTTACGTATATTATTGTTAAATTTCACTTTTTTATTTCTCAATAATTCTTCTCATTTTCTTCAGACTAAGTTTTCAAGTTTTTATTTAAATCCAAAACAAAACAAAAGTAACGATTTTTTTGTAATAAGAGAATAAAATACAAAAAATACACATTATGTACCAGACCGAATTTCTAAAAACTTTAAAAAATTGTAAGAATATAAAAAAAAGAAAAAAAAGCTTAAAAGCTTTACAACATGAAGATTTATAAACAATTTTTTTTAAATGTCAATTAAATCTTCTGAATTTCTTTATCTATTTCATTATCTTCACCTTCTTCAGTTTTTTTTCAACATTTGTATTTTTTTCCTGATTTACTTGTTTTATGTTTTTTTTCTTGTTTCGTTTTGATTTTTTGTTATATTTTTTCCAATTCTTAAATTACCGCTTCAGGTTTTGTTTCAATCACTGTTACTTTTTTTTTAGAAAAATTATAAGTTTTTCTCTTATTTTTTGTGTTTCCGGATTGGTTTTTTATTATGCCATGACAATTTTTTGATTTTACTTACGTATATTATTGTCAAATTTTACTTCTTTATTTCTCAGTAATTCTTCTCACTTTCTTCAGATTAAGTTTTCAAGTTTTTAATTAATCCAAAACTCTTCAAGTGGACTTAAAATTGGTCAAGTCAGTGGCAAAACAAATAAAACCACGTTTTTTTTATTTAAAAATATTAGTCCTTAATAATAATAACGATAGTTACAATAGACCAAAACTAAAACATTTCAAGTGGACCTAAATCCGTTCTTGTTGGTGTCAAAATTAAATAAACCACGAATTTTTCGTTTTTTTAAAATAATAATAATAATAATAATAATGTGATTAATCATAGGTCGAAAAGTACGTAAAACACTAAACAGGGGATTTCAAGTAGACTCAAATAAGGTCATTTTGGTGTCAAAATTACACAAAAGTAACAATTTTTTTGTTTTACGTTGTAATAAGAGAATAAAATACAAAAATTATTTACCAAGTTTCTAAAAACTAAAAAAAACAATAAAAAAATTAAATTTTAAAATTGACAACTAAACCTTCTGAATTTCTTTATCTTTGTCATTATCTTCACCTTTTTCATTTCGACATTTGGAATTTTTTCTCTGATTTTCTTGTTTTACGTTTTTTTTCTTGCATCGTTTTTATTTTTTTGTTCTTCTTTTATTATATTCTTAAATTACCGTTTCAGGTTTTGTTTCAACTATTTCCTTTTTTTCTTAGATAAATAATAAGCTTTTTTCTTTATTTTTTGTGTTTCCGGATTGGTTATAATTCTTCTCATTTGCTTCAGATTAAGTTTTCTAGTTTTTATTTAATCCAAAACACTTAAAGTGGATTCAAAATTGGTCAAATCGGTGGCAAAACGAATAAAAAACGCTTTTTTATTTAAAAATATTAGTCCTTAGTACTCGTAATAATCACGATAGTTACAATAGACCAAAACTAAAACGTTTCAATTGGGCCTAAATCCGTTCTTGTTGGTGTCAAAAATTAAATAAAACAAATTTTTCATTTTTTAAAATAATAATAATAATAGTACAAATTATACGTCGAAAAGTATGTAAAACACTAACCAAGAAATTTCTAGTGAACTCAAATCCGGTTATTTTGGTGTCAAAATTACACAGGCACATTACAAACCAGACCAAATTTCTAAAACTTTAAAAAACTGTAAGAATATTAAAAAAAAGAAAAAAAAAGCATAAAAGCTTTATAATATTCGGTAAGTAATATGTTAGAGGTATGACGAAAAAAAATTATATTTCATCCTCATCTTCATTTTCTTTAGTTTTTCTCGACATCCTCAGTTTTTATTTGATTTTTTTCGTTTAAATTTCTTGTTTTTTAAATTTTTTCTTCTCTACGTTGACATATGTTTATTAAGACTTTTTTGTTTGTTTTAAAATATCTTACAATCTTTTTTTAACACCCTGTATAATTGTTTGCATTAGCAAAATTCTAAACTTAGGACACCCTGTACTTGAAATTGGGTTTTTAATGGGTTTTAGGGGTGAGTAACCCGACTGTGTCAGTGACGGGGAAACAGCTTCCTGGGTCGCGGATTGTGAGTCTCTTACTCTACCCAGATGTGCAAATTGAGGACCCTAAATTTACCATCAATGCCATGCAATATGGGCAAATTATCACCCATGATATGAGCATGATTGCGGGTAGTACCCAAGCACGTGAGTACCAAGTTTGGGTCATGGGCCCAAAATAGGGTATTTTACCCGGGCAGCGTGAATTGCGCTCAGGCTAATAAGGGTCGCTAATCCTTAAGATAAACTGCGCTCAGTAGCATCAATATAATAAAAGGTATGTTTTAATTAAAAAAAATGTTGAAAAAGATCAACAAATACATCGATCCACTTTTGTAAAATGTTTATCTTATAAGTTTGACCAAATTTTTAAAACATTTTAGGTAATGTACACCTATATACAGGGTGTTCCGTCTAAAACCCACATTAAAAGTATTGGGAGTTCGAATAATCATATTTGTTTGAAAATTGGTACATAGCCATAATGCATTAAGTTCTCCTAAATGAAAATAAATCAAGATGGCGGCACTTCCGCTTATACCGGAAGTCGGTCTCAACTTTCTTATTTTAAATGGAAAGCTATATTTTTTATTGCGTTTTTGGATTAATCTGGTTATTTTAAGAGAGTTTTCATCAGCTTTCCCTATACCTAAATTTAGCCATTTTTGAAATATTTGGAGTTTTTCAAAAATTTTTGGATCTGCACCTTCCACTTTAAAAATCCGTAACTTTGCTATTTTTGGAAATTTTGAATTCGTTTTTTTGATGTTTGAAAGAGAAATTTTAGATCTTTCTTCCGGTGTTTTCAAATTTTGAAAAAAAAATTAACAAAGCATAAAATTTTAAGGTTACTTTTGTAATAATTCAAATACCCATAACTCAATTTTTCCAAATGAAATACCCCAATTTTTATTTTACTAAATGGAAGAGAATTTAATTCTGCATCGATCTGTATTAATATTCCCTATACCTAAATTTAATAATTTTTAAGTTATGGTGACTTTTTTTTAAGACTGTCGAAAATCTATTACGTTTTCGTATAGTTTGCCATGGAAATCAAAAATATCAAAATTGTTTTTCAATAAACGTCAACAGTGATTTATTATTTGACAAATAGTGCCAAAATATGGAGAGTCAAAGCAACTCAAACTTAGATTTAATTAATTTATTTTGTATTTATGGAGAGTGTAACAAAATTATGATGTCGTTCATTAAACAAAAATAAATTTTTCTCACTTGTTAGCTTTAAATAATGATCGCAACCTATTAATAATAATTAAGTTTGCAAAACTTTGATTCTTCATATTTTGGCACTATTTGTCAAATAATAAGTCACTATCGACGTTTATTGAGAAACAATTTTGACATTTTTGATTCTCTAGTAATAAATTTTCTGTAGTCTTAAAAAAAGTCCATAACTTGAAAATTATTAAATTTAGGTATAGGAAATGTTAATACAGATCAATGCACAATTAAATTCTCTTCTATTTAGTAAAACAAAAATTGGGGTATTTCATTTGAAAAAATTGAGTTATGAGTATTTGAATTATTACAAAAGTAACCTTAAAATTTTGGGATATATTTTTTTTTCTTCAAAATTTGAAAACACCAGAAAAAGGATCTAAGCTTTCTCTTTCAAACGCCAAAAAAAACGAATTTAAAATCTTAAAAAATTTCAAAGTTACCGATTTTTTAAGTGTAAGTTGCAGATCCAAATTTTTTTGAAAAACTCCAAATATTTCAAAAACGGCTAAATTTAGGTATAGGAAAAGCTGATGAAAACTCTCTTAAAATAACCAGACTAATCCAAAAACGCAATAAAAAATATAGCTTTTCATTTAAAATAAGAAAGTTGAGACCGACTTCCGGTATAACCGGAAGTGCCGCCATCTTGAAAATATTTTTATTTAGGAGGACTTAATGCATTATGGCTATGTACCAATTTTCAAATAAATACGAATACGAACTCCCAATACTTCTAATGTGGGGTTTAGACGGAACACCCTGTATATTTGTGTTCAGTAAATGTAAATAATAACCTATTTCGTCTTTGTTTATTTGAAAAGGCCATCAGCCTGGTAATTTAATTTTTAATAATGTCATTTTATTACTGAGCGCAGTTCAAATAGGGATGTAAAATTTTTCTGAGCGCAGTTTCTGCGTGAAGTGAGCGCAATTTACCGGCACCCATTTTACCCCGTAGAGCCCCACCAAACCAAATGTTGTACCGCCGATGGGCAACTACTCGAGTTTGCCAACATTCCGGAACATTGTTTCCCCATTGTGTTGCCCAATGACGACCCAGCGCACTCCCAGACGAATGCAAAATGCATGAATTTCGTTCGAACGATCACTGATCGTGATCGTAACTGTGTTGGAGGCTCCCAACCGGCTGAACAAGTACTTAATTTCATTTTCCACTTAACCTATCATGAAATCATGTTTTAACAGTTAACTGCAGTTAACCATTACTTGGACTTATCGATAGTTTACGGAAACAGTGGGCAAATCAACCAACAAGTCCGCCAATTCCAAGGGGGGAGACTCCGGGTCGAGGTTCGACATGGTAAGGAATGGCTACCACGGAGTACCAACGCGAGTGGGGTTTGCTCCATTCAGAGTCCACAAGAAGTGTGCTACTTGGCGGGTGGGTACCAAATTATAAAAAAAAAATTACAAATAGGATAAGATACCAGGAACATGAAAAAAATGTTTAAAAAATTCTATCTGTCAAAAAATTTTGACATTTGACATTTTTTTATATCTATTTAATGATACTGATGATCTTGTAGATGTTTTTTTACAATTATTTAGGGAAGGGACATAAATTTTGCCAATAAAAGGCACAAATAACATTGAACAGAGTTACAATTTAGGCTACAGCTTCCTTGTTTCCTCTTTTAATAGCCTATAGCAAAAAAACTTGGAAAATTATTTTTCCAACAGAAATAAATAGAATCAAAGTGCAAACTTTAAACCCTCATAACTTCGAAATTTTTATAGATAACATTTTTCCATGTTCCTAATATCTTACCTTATGTGGCATTTTTCTCTGGGGCGCGAGTTCTGGCGCACCCTGTATACAGAATGTTCCGTCTAAACCCCACATTAAAAGTATTGGGAGTTGGAATAATCGTATTTATTTGAAAATTGGTACATAGTCATAATGCATTAAGTCCTCCTAAATGGAAATATTTTTAAAATGGCGGCACTTCCGGTTATACCGGAAGTCGGTCTCAACTTTCTTATTTTAAATGGAAAGGTATATTTTTTACTGCGTTTTGGATTAATTGGGTTATTTTAAGGGAGTTTTCATCAGCTTTCCCTATACCTAAATTTAGCCGTTTTTGAAATATTTGGAGTTTTTCAAGTAGACTCAAATAAGGTCATTTTGGTGTCAAAATTACACAAAAGTAACAATTTTTTTGTTTTACATTGTAATAAGAGAAAAAATACACATTATATACCCGACCGGATTTCTAAAAACTTTAAAAAATTGTAAGAATATTAAAAAAAGGCTTAAGAGCTTTACATGAAGACCTATAAACAAAAAAAAATAAATTTTAAAATTGTCAACTAAGTCTTATGAATTTCTTTATCTTTTGTATTACCTTCACCTTCTTCAGTTTTTTTCGATATTTGTAATTTTTTCTCTAATTTTCTTGTTTTAGGTTTCTTTTCTTGTATCATTTTTATTTTTTGTCATATTTTTTCCCAATTGTTAAATTACAGTTTCAGGTTTTGTTTCAACCACTGTCTTTTTTTTTGGATAAATAATAAGTTTTTTTCTTTATTTTTTTGTATTTCCGGATTGGTTTTCTATTTTTATTATGTCATGATAATTTTTTGATTTTACTTACGTATATTATTGTCAAATTTCACTTCTTTATTTCTCAATAATTCTTCTCATTTTCTTCAGACTAAGTTTTCAAGTTTTTATTTAATCCAAAACACTTCAAGTGGACCTAAATCCGTTCTTGTTGGTGTCAAAATTAAATAAACCACGAATTTTTCTTTTTTTTAAGATAATAATAATAATAATAATAATAATAATAATAATAATAATGTTATTAATCATAGGTCGAAAAGTACGTAAAACACTAAACAAGAAATTTCAAGTAGACTCAAATAAGGTCATTTTGGTGTTAAAATTACACAAAAGTAAAATTTTTTTGTTTTACATTGTAATAAGAGAATAAAATAAAAAGTACACATTATATACCAGACCAAATTTCTAAAAACTTTAAAAAATTGTGAGAATATTATAAAAAAAGAAAAAAAGAAAAAAAGCATAACAAGAAAAAATAAATTTTAAAATTGTCAACTAGATCTTCTGAATTTCTTGATCATTTTCATCTTCTTCAGTTTTTGTTTCGACATTTGTAATTTTTTCTCTGATTTTCTAGTTTTACGTTTGTTTTTGCTTGCATAAGGGAGTTTTCATCAGCTTTCCCTATACCTAAATTTAGCCGTTTTTGAAATATTTGGAGTTTTTCAAAATTTTTTGGATCTGCACTTTCCACTTTAAAAATCGGTAACTCTGCCATTTTTTAAGTTTTTGAATTCGGTTTTTTGGCGTTTGAAGGAGAAAAGTTAGATCCTTTTTTTGGTGTTTTCAAATTTTGAAAAAAAAATCACATATCCCAAAATTTTGAGGTTACTTTTATAATAATTCAAATACTCATTACTCAATTTTTTCAAATAAAATACCCCAGTTTTTATTTTACTAAATACAAGATAATTTATTTGTGCATTGATCTGAATTAACATTTCCTATACCTAAATTTAATAATTTTCAAGTTATGGACTTTTTTTAAGACTAAAGAAAATTTATTACTAGAGAATCAAAAATGTCAAAATTGTTTCTCAATAAACGTCGACAGTGACTTATTATTTGACAAATAGTGCCAAAATATGAAGAATCAAAGTTATGAAAACTTAATTATTATTGATAGGTTCTACCATGCAACAAGTGAGAAAAATTTATTTTTGTTTAATGAACGACATCATAATTTTGTTACACTCTCCATAAATACAAAATAAATTAATTAAATCTAAGTTTGAGTAGCTTTGACTCTCCATATTTTGGCACTATTTGTCAAATAATAAATCACTATTGACGTTTATTGAGGAACAATTTTGACATTTTTTATTTCCATAGCAAACTATACGAAAACGTAATAGATTTTTGACAGTCTTAAAAAAAAGTCACCATAACTTAAAAATTATTAAATTTAGGTATAGTGAATGTTAATACAGATCGATGCAGAATTAAATTCTCTTCCATTTAGTAAAATAAAAATTGGGGTATTTCATTTGGAAAAATTGAGTTATGAGTATTTGAATTATTACAAAAGTAACTTTAAAATTTTATGGTTTGTTAATTTTTTTTTCAAAATTTGAAAACACCGGAAGAAAGATCTAAACTTTATCTTTCAAACGCCAAAAAAACGATTTCAAAATTTTAAAAAATAGCAGAGTTACCGATTTTTAAAGTGGAAGGTGCAGATCCAAATTTTTTTGAAAAACTCTAAATATTTCAAAAACGGCTAAATTTGGGTATAGGGAAAGCTGATAAAAACTCTCTTAAAATAACTTAAAATAAATATGATTATTCGAACAGCCTGTATTGTCCTCTATAGACTTATAGTCTGTTGAAAATAAATTTATATTATTATTATTATTATTAAATTCGGTACTTTTACTTTTCACTGAAAAAAAAAATTTTTTCAGGTGACGCTCGAGTCAACCAAAACCCACAATTGACCATTCTTCAAATCATCCTCATGAGGGAACACAATCGAATTGCTGACGCTTTAGCCAAATTGAACCCACATTGGGATGATGAAACCATTTTTCAGGAGGCGAGAAGGATTGCAATTGCTGAACATCAGTTTATTTCGTACTATGAATGGTTACCGATTTTCATCGGGCTTGAGAATTCGCTCAAAAATAAGATTATTTATTTGACGAAAAATTTTATTAATGATTATCGACAAGAAGTCGATCCGACGGTACTCAACGAACATGCGACTGCTGCTTTCAGATATTTTCATTCGCTCATCGCCGGGCATTTGGAGTAAGTTAAAAAAAATCACCAGATTATTAATTTCAGGCGTTTTTACGACGATTTATTGAAACTCAAAAAATTCGGTTTTTCATAAACTTGTATCAATGCATTTTTTTATAGTTTCTAAGACCGCTAGAAATGTTGTTAAGAACGTCAACGTTTTTTGCTCAATTTTAATGTTCTCAATTTTTGTCAAAATTTTGATCAATTTTGGTACCCGGAATTATTGGCGCTAGCCTCTTGTATTTAAGATCATTGGAAAGCAAATTTAATTTTATATCACAGTCAAAAAAAATCAGTGTTCTACGATAAACAGTTATCGAGAAAATTTCTGATAAAGTCAAAAATATCCAAAAAAATAAATACGACTAAGTATAACTTCAAAACTATTGCGAATTTTGCAGTTTTCGTGACGCCAATCGATTCCCCGGAACATTTTACATATGTTTATATTAAGATACAGTTATTTCGCAATTTACAAAATAAAAAAAAGTAAAAATTCTTAACTTTATTACTCAATATCTCAAAAACTATGCATTGTAGAGAATTTTACACCTTTTTCAAGAGTAATTCAGAAACCATCACATGTAATTCAGATTAGTCAATTTACTTTCAGAAAGAGATTAGTTAATTGTTTTTCAGAAGAATAAAATGATTTTCAGAAAACTATGAGATGTAATTCAGATTAGTTACAGTAAATTCAATTTCATGTTACATGTAATTCAGAAAATATGAATTGTAATTCAGATAAGTATCTA